CTGGTATACAGAGAATAGGGAGTCCACACTATCACAGACTGGTTTCCAGAGTGTGGTGTCCACACTATCACAGACTGGTTTACAGAGAGTATGGTGTACACACTCTCAAAGACTGTTATACAGAGAATAGGGCATCCACACCATCACAGACTGGTATACAGAGAGTGTGGTGTCCGCACTATCACAGACTGGTATAGAGAGAGTGTGGTGTCGACACTATCACAGACTGGTTTACAGAGAGTGTGGTGTACACACTCTCAAAGACTGTTATAGAGAGAATAGGGCATCCACACCATCACAGACTGGTATACAGAGAGTGTGGTGTCCACACTATCACAGTCTGGTATACAGAGAATAGGGAGTCCACACTATCACAGACTGGTTTACAGAGTGTGGTGTCCACACTATCACAGACTGGTATACAGAGAGAGGGACATTCACACTATCACAGACTGGTATACAGAGAGAGGGAGGTGCACACTATCACAGACTGGTATAGAGAGAGTGTGGTGTCGACACTATCACAGACTGGTTTACAGAGAGAGTGGTGTCCACACTATCACAGACTGGTATACAGAGAAGAGGGCGTCCACACTATCACAGACTGGTTTACAGAGAGGGTGGTGTACACACTCTCAAAGACTGTTATAGAGAGAATAGGGCATCCACGCCATCACAGACTGGTATACAGAGAGTGTGGTGCATCCACACTATCAAAGACTGTTATACAGAGAATAGGGCATCCACACTATCACAGACTGGTATACAGATAATAGGGCATCCACACTATCACAGACTGGTATACAGATAATATGGCATCCACACTATCACAGACTGGTATACAGAGAGAGGGACGTTCATACTATCACAGACTGGTATACACAGTCTGGTATACTGAGATAGGGCCTCCATACTATCAAAGACTGGTATACAGAGAGAGGGACGTCCACACTATCAAAGACTGGTATACATAGACACAATATATGTCACTTCATTATTATAAAGGTTGATTTTCAAAATCATGCCTGAAATGATATTTCTTGGTGATTTAAATTTGAAAAACAAATCACTGTTAGGTTATCTTACATCAGTGAATATATTTGTGTGAAGTATCTGAACGTGCAATCTGGATGCTAATGTGAGTTAGGTTAAAATAGACATCTTTAGAAATATCAGTGATTTTCACATCTGATCAAGATTAAGTTTACACTGTACACTTTTCGATAAATTTTAATGGGTTCTTTATTAAGCATTACTGAAGTAGACGATATATATAAATATATTTTCATTTACTAGAAATCAAGCACCTGTTACTTCATATGAATAGCAGATGTATCATTTTCTGTTATTTCCTGTTTTATTTCATCATAAAAATCCCATTTCAAAATTTCGTGTCAGCACTTAACCCATAGAAAACCGTTTGCAGGATGATTTGATAGAAATTTTAAAATATTTATAGATTTTATTTTTATTTCAAGAAATCTGATATAAGCACAGTTTAAAATGAAGAAGGCCTCTTTGATATAGATTTGATATTACTTTATACCAGTTCCATTTTTTTTAATTCAAGTTAAGTAAATATAGCTGATTTATTCTAAAACATAACGAGTGCACACATGTCATATATCTGATCAGCGATTTAAGTACTCAGGAAGTAGATACCCAGATATCTACTGGAGTTGTAAAAATTACGTCTAGATGATAATCATTTATATATCTTATAGGTTTGACGACTTTCTCCAAAGGTGCCTATCTACAGTTTCGAAACTGAGGCAATCAAAAAGTTCCATAAATGACTTGCATATCTTATTCCAATTTTGTATCAATTTTATCAGTAATAATTCACTGTTATATCCAATTCAAAGTCATTTTGTATGTAAACATCATGGTGAAATATCTTTATCACTGTTACCCCATAATTTACTAACTTAGTACTTACAATGTCTGACGAGGCAAAGTTCGAGTAATAATGTCAATGATAGGTTGTTAGCGTGTCTGTAACTGACCCAAGTATCATACCGGAGCAGGAAGTGCAACCCAACTTTGATTTCACAGCACTTTTGTTTAGATATAAGATATTTTAAGTGGGGGGTAATTCTCCCTAAACAAGTCAACAGAGAACTCAAGTAACTACTATAAACAACAGCTGGGGAAATTCTTATTGAACAAACTTTGGCAATAGCTTCATAACAAACAAATTTTGACCCAAAAGCATAGACAATTGCTTTATAATCTTAACTGTAAAAAGTTGTTTGAACAGTGTAAATATGTCGAGATAAACAGAGTATTTAATCAATCTGATGAAGAATAGAAAGAAAAACCATCATGAGACCATCAAACAATTGCAATGACTTGATGATGTACAAAGTGTTGGTGAGGAAATCTTGGGAATTTTCAACAAGAACATTTGACATTCTTGAGATATAGACAATATAGCATAGAAAAGTACTTGATTTGAGGACACCTGTGTATAACTCCTCCAAGCAACCTCATGTCCTAACATTGGTCATTTAATGAAAAGTGCACTAAATCATAAAACCAAAAAACAGGGAAATTCTAAACATCTGGATACAATTCAACAGTTACAATCTCTTAATGGTTAGTATGCATTAGACCTAGAATCGGAAATGAAAAACACACCACATAATATACAGTAGAGCAAAGCAATAACGGGTTAAATGTCTTTTAAAATATCTGCCACACATTTTTGATATCATTCTTTCTTTAAAAGTAAACCAATCTACTTAAACCTAATATGATGCAAGTTGTTTCACTGGCCTACGTGGGAGTGTCTTACACAACTTCTTATTAAACAGGTGAATAAAACGTAAATACTTTACAGAACTTCTCAATGACTCAATGACTGCAATATCATATATCGCTGATAAAATCCAAACAGATGCACTTGTAACAAATACGAACAGTCCTCGAATTGTACCTACACAAGTTTTAAGGAACGGCAGACGTGACGGCAGAAATGATTGACATTTTTCAGTGTTTTTTTTTTATATCTTATGTTATAAGAAAATCTTGAGGACTAATCATTTCTTGTACACCCCCCCACATCATGTCAACCTCACACTTTTAGTTGTGTCTGTATAGGACTCTGTTACTACACTTAAAGAATGACATCACTGGTTAATCATACATGTGTCCTTTGTATTTAGCTTGTTCAATGCAAAAGATGCTATTTCATTATTGAACAAATGATTATTTTATCGTTGAGTAATTGATACATGGGTGATTAACACTATAACTACTCAGTTGATCACTTACATCATGAAACAGTCTCGAACATCAACAATGTTATTTACATCGATTACATAAAATCGTTGATATGTACATGTAAGCTGTCATATACAATGTAGCTCTATATCAACTGATGTATCCCATTGAAAATACACATATTATCAATTCAATTACTTTTGTTGACATGTGTAAAATAATGAACAACTCATATCCTGCTGTCTTCCCATCATCAAAACAGACCAAACCAACTCCAAATTCTCAATGTATTTGATACTCCCCCCCCNCTTACTTATAACAATCCCCTAAACATACAAAATTTCTCAAATACATTTGTGTTGACAGATACAAACAAGATTGCTTATAACCTTCTTGACAGAAATATTTTATCTGAATTGAAATCGACAAAATCTGAGTTGTGTGTGACCGAACTGTCAGAGGGCTTGGTCCATCAACATCCAGGAACAAAGTCTTCCGTGTTTCTACAAGGAAGTGAAATTACTGCAAAAAAGTTGTTCAGATAAAAAAGTGTACCCTTATCAACATATCAAGTCGAAGTCTGTCAAAGGTTGATCATGTCCTGGCAGGACGAGAAATACTTTATGACAGTACATTCTGTCAGCTACTGTCTTTCACCTTGTACATGAATTTTTACATTGATCTTGTAAAACCTGTGCTACCAAAATCAAAATGTTTATGGATCAAACATGCTTAACAGCTACTCAACAGATTAAGGCTAAGACAATTGTATTGTGAGCCATTCTTTCATTTTATATAAAGGCACAATTAACAGTGCCCTTAATGCTCACATGAGTTTCATTGATCTTACTGATACAGGAACATGTCCAATAAGCTTGAAGTGAATTGCTATAGAGGTTCTTGAGAATACGCTGTAAATGTCTGAGCCAATCAGAAGCCATGGCAGCCATCTTGGATTTTCAGGTCAGCAAAAAAACCAAATCTTGGTTAGATATACGGAACATTTATTCTAAGTTTGGAATCAATTTCTTTAAATTAGTGGTTCTTAAAAGAAGTAGAAGATGTTCTTTTGTTAACAGATGATGGACAAATACTGATGGCCATAGCTGACATGATCAAAAATGTCGGCTAATGACTTCTAGATGTATATTGTTTAGTTAACATGGCCATACATTGTGAAATATAACACATTGTGACTGGAATGTTATGTATTTTAGCCCTGAATGAATGGTTTTAAAACACAACACAATGATCTTGACACAACCCAGTATGACAATAATGCAGCACAATGTGACCTTGACAACAGTCACTGTGGCCTTGACATAAACAATGAAATTATTTCATGGCTTAGTGACATAAACAGAACAATCTGTGACCTTAACATGATGCTGTTACCTTGATACAACACCATCAGATACAACACACGGTGACCATAACAAAGCGTACAGTATGATCTGGTGGTAACATCATGTCATCTGACATGACCTTGGCAAGGCACTGTGACCTTGACATCAAACTGTGTCCCTGACATCATATTGCAACATTGACAACATTTTGGCATTCACACAACAGCTTGACCTTGACTCAGGCTTACAGGTACTTTTCATACAATAATGTGTCCTTTGACCTACAGGTACTTTTCACACAACAATGTGACCTTGACCTACAGGTACTTTTCAAACAACAATGTGACCTTGACCTGCAGAAACATTTCATACAACCATGCGACCTTGATTTATATTTACTTTTCACACAAAAATGTGACCTTGACTTACAGGTACTTTTTCATCGCGGACATCCTCTAGGTACTGCATCAGTTGTTCCATGGCCATGTCCTGTATGGGAGTTAGGGGCATGTAGTAGTAGTGGGTGGTGGGATTCAGTAACATCACTACCGGACCCTTCATAAACGCCATGGCTATGCTGTTTACTGTCTCCATGTCTGACATCCACAGGAACTGGAACCCACTTCAACATCAAACGAGGCACAGATTTTTACACTTGATTTCGTCATAAGAATAATTATGTACAAAGGTACTATATTCTCATGTTACTAGGAATGAAGTTTTATAGTCAGGAAATTATAAATTGTTGCTTGATGACATTAAGAACATGTGTATGGTATTTGTTGACATGATGTGAAGGTAAAATGTTTCCTTTACAAATGAGATGCTTAAAGAAAATATAGTTGAATGGGAACTTTACTGACATTTTAATGACAATCAGAATATTTGACAACAAGGCATAGCAAGGTGAGGCAATCTGCTTCAAAAGTAAAGATTTGTATAACAGTGACCTACTTTTGTTACACATCAACAATCTGTCAATCCCAAGACAAACCACATTCAAAAAAAAAATGTGCAATAGAATTGAAGATATGTACCTTGTATAAGACTCTTAAGGACAAATTGGATGGTTATTGATGGCCTAGACAAGTTGGATATTTTTTTACAAGCAAAATAAAAAGGGCACATTTTGTTTTGACATTGAAGTCAATTAAGACAATAGGTTGTTTGTTGACATAAAGGCTTATACGATACTTGTTGACCAAGGGAACTATGTACAGACGTAAGCGCTTTCAAATGAATACATTTATTATAAACTCTTTGTGAATTCAGTGTAATGTATCTCACCACTAGAAAGAATATTCCTGCAACATGTATTAACAAGACCATGTACTTGTATGACTAAATATTTCTACATAACATGAAATTGACAACAATCCATCAATATTTACATCTTGCAGTATTTATGTTAAGCTTATACCACACAAAGCTTAAAATGCTATAAAACCACCTACGCATCCTCAGCTATATAAGTCCCAGAATGGCAAATCATCAAAAAACTTATCTGACTTTCATCAACAGCCGAGGGAGATCACTCCATCAAATTCTGGTTTCTTATCAGTCTCCTGCAGAGAAACGGAGGATTTGTTTTCCCTTTATTGTTGGCTGCAATCAACATTTAAAGCCGCGTCTAAGATGCAAACAAATTTGCAGTGAGAATTAAAAGATAGATATCCTGAGCGGTAAAACACTGGTGGATCAGCCAACAACTAGTAACTCAATGAATATACCTTTATAATGTTCCCCAAACTTCTCTGTGTTTGACTGTTAAGCAGTCAACATCATGTTCCAGTTCCAGAGCCGAAAATGATGATATATTTATGATACACAGTCAGGTAACTTATAGTCTATCTGAGATTGTATATAGCTACAGATATTGGACACTTTACTGGCTTTGCTGCTTAATTGAACGTTCCATGAAAAATGTTCCCTGTTTTACTGTGAGTTTTGAGTTTTGTAAAGAATACAATAAAGTGATGCAGGTTTTTATGTAAAAATCTTTAAATCTAAACATATGTAGTAATGTTATGCAGAAATTGTAGACATTTGACCTTTGAACTGTAAGTGACCTCACCTTGTGTGAGTCACTATCTAGCAGTAATTTGTTGATTTTACCACAGTATCAACAGTAATAGATAGGATAATAATGAAATGAAGAAACTTGACTTATAACAGTGACCAGTAACCTTGACCTTATGACCAGACATTATTAAATCACTCCTGTTTAGTGGAAGTAGCTTTCATTGAGATATCAGTATAGTTTAAGATGTTTACTATCTAGGAGTGATGTACCTTTACGTTACCTTGGTAACTGTCAATTTAATGATGCAGTAAAGAGGAAGGTACTGTCAGAACAAGAAAACAAATACATTTGACCTATGAACTTCAACAATGACCTTGACTTTTGATTTGGTGCAGGCACCTGATAATACTTTAGTATACTGAATGAACACTGGCATACAAAATGTAGATATCACAAATAGTGGCATGATAGCAGGGAAGAGGTAGAGAATATTCAACCAGAAATAAACAATATAACAAGCAGGTATCTGAGAAAGCTGTTAAAAATCTTGTCTGTGTATCATTGGTGAGGAAACACGGCTTATGCTGATGAACAATCTAGAACAATTAATCGACCAGACGATTGGAAATAGTAGTTTTGTAAAAGAGAAGAAACCTGTAAACTGCTGTGTTGTAGAGTGATAAACGAGAGTTTTATGAGAGTGTGAGGATGTTCCCTGTGTTTCTGATTAGATTGTACAACAAAACTGCTTTGATACCATATTCTAACAGTTCCGCCAAACACTTGGCTCGGCCCTGTCACACACACCATGTAATAACGCTGAACAAGAACCTGTACTATTAACCGAAATAATAATCATGATAAAGCAATTTTATTTTTAGACTTTAAAAAGTTAGATCTTTGCAAATGCATTTTATATGTGCTTCAGGGGAAATAATTTAACTTATAAAACTTTATATCATGTAATCGAACTCTCTGATTTACAACAATTTAGTATCAGATTAAGATATAATGAAGAATATTTAAAGTATATATTCAAAAATATATATTTCTACAAGACAGACTTCAGTAAAAAAAACTTTCATTGTGTATCAACATTAACTGTTGTTATAGTTAAGATGGACTATTGAATAATCAACGGGAAAAGTTTGTATATTTTCAAGTGTTCTGCTGATGGGGAATGTTTGTAATACTTTGGGGTTGCATTTAAAAGACAAAAGATCCCAGAGGGATCTTGGCGTCCACCATTGTATCATCTTCATTAGTTCTTTGTCAGTTCGATCTTTTCTCTTCTTTCCTCTAATCTGTTTGATCGAGTCATGTTAACAGTAAATGCACCTTGAGCTAACTTCTGATCTAAACTTAATACCGATGTGTATAAAAGCCAACCTTCAAAGTGAGTTTGTCATTTCACTTTTTTACTAGTACAGTACTTAATTAATAATGTGAAAGAAATAGGATCGATCATTGCAATATGAGAAAGATCTGTTTAGTTCTTCCTTTAGCCAATGAGTTTTTATGATCAGTCTCAAAATATAACATGCACAATGAGGGATCAAGGGGAACCTACATATCAAATTTGAGAAAGATCCCTCAAGTTATTCCTGAGAAATAGTACTAACAAACCTTCAATGTCAAAGATGGCTGTCGGAAGGCCATTTTGTTTAACTGATCAGTTTCAAAAGTAAACATGAACAATAAAGGATAGTGGGGAACCTGTATTGGCTGGGCCAAATTTATTTTTTTGGGCGAGTGAAAAATTTGAAGTACTTGCCCAAATGACATATTGGTGGCCCAAATAATTTTGGGAAGAAATATTTCCACAGCATTTAACACAATGCTTCAGCACATTTAAATTACATATAACATGACATTGTTTGTAACATGAAAAACAGAATAAAGCATTATCTTTTTAATTCTTCAACCCTAGTTAAAACCTGACATGATCCACACCATTCAGGTCTTCCAAAAAAGAAATACACAAAACTTGCACCTCAAAGAAGACACCCTGGCAGTATTTGTATAGAAAATCTGAAAAAAAAATCATCACATTTTCTAAATCACGGACAGTTTGATTCAAATCGATGTAATGACAACTGAAAAATGTACTGCCCCCAAATTAATGTTGAAGGGACTATAATTTATTTTATTCACTAATTTTTTGACAGTCGCCCAAACTATTTTTGTTGGGCCAGTGACTACCTCACTTTTGACAACTTTTTTGGTCGCTCGAGCAAGACTTTAACCGACATTGAAGAGCGGGCGACCGACCATTTCAGGCACTGCTGCACAGCTAAGGACTAAGGGGAACCTACATATAAAATTTGAGAAAGATCCCTCAGGTACCTCCAGAGAAATAGCGATAACAAACTTTCACTATCAAAATCCAATATGGCTGCCTGTCTGCCATGTCGTTTATCCGATCAGTCTTAAAAGTTGCCCTGCACAGCTTAGGACCAAGGGAAACCTACATATGAAATTTGAGAAAGATCCTTCTTGAGAAATAGCGATAACAAGAATTGTTTAAGGACGGACGGACAATGGACCACAGACGCAGGGTGATTTGAATAGCCCACCATCAGATGATGGTGGGCTAATAAAGACAGCTCCTCCTGGCATGCCATCTACAATCTTTGATGACATTGTCAAAATAAACCCACAATTTTAAGACACTAACATTCATTTGCCTTACCTACAAAATCTGTGTTGCCTGTGAAATCCATTTTTCCCATGCAATATATCTTACCAGCAGAATTAGTCTGATCAAAGAACTTTGTCTTACCAAAGGATATTGTCTTAACAATGGTCTCTGTCTTGTCTGTTTAATCTGTCCTACCTGTGAATGCAGTCTTAACTGTTAAATCTGTCTTACCTGTGGTTGCAGTCTTCGATGTAGTCTTACCTGTGATATTTGTCTAACCTGTGGATGCAGTCTTACCTGTGAAATCTGTCCTTGTGTTGTGTAGCTAACACTTTTACCATATCTTTGATTCTGAAAAATACAAAATTTCAGTTTGAACACTTCAGAGAATGATAGTTGGCTACAAATTTGATCAGTAAAAAGAGTTATGTCCCTTAGTAATAATATTTGATATAGACCAGCCACATTGTATGTATTGTTTGCACACATGAAACCATATAAGTAGATCTGGATAAAGATTTTTTACTTTACACATTTGATCACAATGATTTTGTTTATAAGGGATCTAATGTCCTTGCAACAGTCTGAGGGTCATATGCAGACAGATACCTATACGGACACACCCTAGTCTTGAGTAACAAATTAAGTAAGCTAAGGGCATTCAAAAATATCATTACAACTTTGACCTCAAGTTGTGACCTTAACTTTGATGGGTTATACCAAATACAAAACATGAAATTTGTTGTATCTTAGCTTCTCAATAACTTCCTGTAAGGTCTCTTATGTTTTAAAAAATATACTAATAGTTTCTTCATTTGCTACCTTTTTTCCAGTATTCCAGGTTTGAGACATACCATTATGATATAGAAATTGTTGAGATCCAATTCCATCATTTAAAAGCATTTTAATATGTAAAATGTTTTACTTTTCCAGCTAGAAGAACCGTGCTGGTTACTGCCTTAACTCAGTATCTGTGAGTGACGAAGGTCACCATGTCCAATTACAACCCATTCACAGCAGCAGTGATAAGTAAGTATACAGTTTCGTTGTAAAAGCTCCAGATGAAATAAAGATAACTAAAACTTGTGCCACATTTCAGCAACAGGAGAACTTTAATGTAATGGAATCAAAATGATATTTAATTCAAAACTTCCTTTTTTAATTGAAGTGTTTTATTTTCTACATTTCCTTAAGAAAATGGAATTATTTTTTTGTTAACTTTGATAAAAGAATTTTGATCATGTTTCAGCGCTTCTTAAAAACATATAAACATTATACTTTTGGAAGGAATGAACATATTTGATAATTACGTAAGATTTTTTTATTTTGTTACTGGCGCGTTATTATTTGACAGAGTAAACCTAGATCTACGGAGCTTATATATTCATTTCAATCATTTCCTGTCATAAAAGACATAAAAATATCATTTAAATAGAAATCTTACACATGGGACTCCCGTCAATGTGGAATAGGCCTGCATTCCCATTCTAACCCTGTGTGGTCCCCTACGGTGATACATCAGACTTAGAGTGACAGGATTTTCAACTACACGAACATTCCAAATGAAAGCAGTAAATATCAATAAACAAGAATGTAGCTTTGTCCTTAGGCTCTGGAGTGTTTCCATTTATCATAACTGATGGGATGTAGGTGACATTGTTGTCCTTGTATCAAGTAAAGGCATGATGTCACATGAGGCTTCCCAAATATCTCTTTGTGTTTGGGGGCGGCGGGGGATGGGGTTGGGGATGGGGTGGGGCAATCCCTGTTCACTACATGAAGACTCCAAAGTCCATGTTCACAGTTTTTTTTATACAAAGTAACCAAAATGAGTACTTCCCAGATTATAGTTCTGTTGACATATTTGACAGGATTTTTCATTCCGATTCTGCATGAGAGTTATTGTTATGCCAGAGATCTTTACTCATTAGTGTATTCATACAAATGATACACTGTTATAATTCATACATTCCCTCAATGTCACGATGTTGCAGTGTCCTACCAAGGGTTATTTGCACTGGCTAACTTTTGACTGTATTTTGTGTTTTTCAACACTTGTGTTCATTCCATTATATGACTAATTTGATATAATGATTTCAAAGAATGTCAAGCAATACCAAACATGAATGTAATTTTAAGAATATCGCTTGAAATATGGCAAGTTTACATTTCGACTTCAAGTTTCACTTTCATTGCTGCATTGCATGATCCTCACCAGACTGTTATCATGTAATGACGAGGTCGGTTATATCTGAAATACAAAAATCTACCATTCTGGCTGGAATAACAAGAAGCACATTACCAGATTCTGCAATAGCTGCTTATATTTAAGGAAATAGAAGAATTATTCAAATTTTGTACAAAAATAATAAACTATTACGTTGAAAAATTGCTGTATTGGGCATTACTTATTTATAATAATTGTCGTTGCGTTGAATGCCAGCTTTGAATACAGAACAAGAGTACCGAGGGGCGGAACAATATACGCCCGTCAAATGCCATATAGTGTTATATACTTTCTTAAATTGAAATAAGATCTGCATCATTCTAAGAGTGGTTAGCTGATATGCTAAAAAAAATGTAGGATATCTTCAGACAAAAATCAAATACTGAAATGAACAAAAGGCAATATATTTTGCAAAAATCATTGAATCAAAATTCTTTTAAGGGACACACAACTTCATGTCATGATTATAAAGTATACCAAGTTTCAAAGAGATTTGTTGAAAAATGTAGGAGGAGATTGCCGGACATAAATCGAATACTGAAATAAACAAAGGGCAATAACTTTTGAAAATAAAAATGGGGAATCAAATTCTTTTAAGGGAGACACAACTTCATATCATGATTATAAAGTATACCAAGTTTCAAAGAGATCGGTCGAAAAATGTAGGAGAAGAACTCCGGACAAAATTCAAATTCTGAAATGAACAAAGGGCAATAACGTTTGGAAAAATCGTTGAATCAAAATTCTTTTGAAGGAGAACCAACTCCATATCATGATTATAATGTATACCAAGTTTCAAATAGATTGGTCGAACAATGTAGGAGGAGATTGCCGGACAAACAAAGTTTATGCCAGCCGGCCGGCCGGCTGGACAACGGACAACGCCATACCATAATACTCCCATCAAATTTGACAGGCGCATAAAAAAGCACCTTGCGTTAATTTTTAAGTACCACCTCAAGTTTACGTCATGTTCTATTTTTTAGTCAGTAGGTATACATAAAGTACTTGGTTCACATCGTCAAAACACAACTGTCTGTAAGATGGAGATTGATTAACTTTTGTTTCGTAAGATTTGTCTTAGTGTAAGATTTGTTTTAATAGTGTTGGTGTTTCTTTAGCATACAATATAACTTTTAATTTGATATCATTCTTTTAATACAACTGTTTTTCCTCAAAGTTTGTTCAATGTCTAAACGACTGTGACAAAATAGTTTATCTTGTTGAACCCCTTGATTGCTCTACCGGATAACTTTTATGCTGATGACACAAAGGTTAACCTTCATCGGGGTAAAAACATAACATTTATGAAGTCCTCAAAACAACTTAAACAGGACTGTTCTCCAATAATGTCACATACTTGCATCTTCTGCAGTGTCATTTTGCAGTTTGTATGGTAAATGTATCAAAGACGAAGGCCAAGTCAAGTTGCACTGGCGTCTGAATTATACCGAGTTTCATCCATAAATACCTATCCTTTTGTTATAAACAAACAAAGTTGACATGCTAAATTGACATATGTAACAGCTGAATGTCAACATGCATTAGTGAATTGTTAAACCTCGAGTGATTGAAAACAGTGGTCTTCTGGGTTAGGTAACGTCTGGTAGGACTGCCACCACTACGTCAGCCACAATTAAGTCTGACAGACAGGTTTATTCAGCTTTAAATTTACGGTTTTTATGACGTGAAAGTTTTCTGAGTGGGTGTGCATCTCGATGGGAGGGATGGGGTGTAAACGTTGAAAGGACAAAGTGCAAAATAAAATTATTTTGTTTATTACTTTTTGGGAAGTTTTAAATAATATCAGAAAAATGTAACTCTCATGCAATGCATTTCTTACACAATATTTTTTAATGTACTTTTTGTTTTAAAAAGTCATCACTTGATTCACACCAAGAAACTTTATGACCCTGCACTTAGTACCTCTTACACCCTATCGGAACGAGATTCGGAAATGTATTGAAATTCAATGGGATTGCCACCTATATCGTAAACTCTTTGACCACTCTGACTTGAAAACACCCAAGCATGAAATTATATATAGTTTAAAAATGCTATATATATCAGATGAAGTGAAACTTTTGTTTCATTATCTCAAACAGAAAATCAATTCAAATTAGAATAGTAAGTCCTTTCTGCAAGTGCCATTTATGAGAATGGAATTCAGTTGTAAACCCTGGCTATTATCTCTGTATCATGATACTGACACTGCAAGGGAGATAACTGTCAATCTTGTCATGCTTCAAACTATATTGTTGAACAGTTTGAAAATTACTAAGCTTTATCTCTTCCTAGCATAACATCTTAATGGTGTTGCTATATTAATATCTAAGATATAAATTTACCTTGCCTTAGGCAAGCCATTTAAAGGTTTATTGAATTTTTGTTGTTAACAGGATATTCCTATACAGAATTTTGAATATATATACTTATTTCTTTTAGTAATGTAGTAGAACTAGACTGGGTCGATCGCCGGCAAACAGGGCACTAAATTGGTAGAGCATCTGATTAGAGTTTGGGGAGTTCCAGAATAAACCAAACTCTGGCCGTTCATTTTTCAGCTCCTGTTACATTTGGTGCTGGTAACCAACTCTTGCTTTAATTATCAGTTGAATACTTTACAAGGGGATTCCCAAACTTAACATTACCAACATTTAGCTTAAAAATGAAAGTAAAATAATGTTTTGACATATTGAAACAAATCATAAAAGATGTACTTAATAAAATATATTTGAATCTCCTTGTCACAAAAGTGTGAAAGTTGATTAGGTCTATATCATTCCAACAATAAATTAAATGAAATGTTCTCCAATAACAAGCCATTCAGATTGGTATGTATCGCCTGTGCCCCGCTATCTATGCACATTTCAGAGAAACTAACTTAAACACGAAAACCTAATGTTGATGGAGAGGCTGACAAAGTCAATGGACCACTGTTTGATGTATGGGTTGAGATGTACTACCTAAGATGCATCTATGGTCCAAGTTCGGTTAATCTAGCACTTATACTTTCAGAGAAACTAACTTAAACACAAAAACTGAATATTGATGCCAGCAACGGAAAAGCAACACCTTGAGTCTTGTTTCCGTTACTTCGTTGCGGTGAGACAAAAATGATTTC